TATAGGGACTACATTAAGGCCAGTGTTCCACTATTTGGGCACATGGACCCTTAGGGCAACAGCACGACCATCTCCACAGAGTTGCATTTTAAAGCTTCGGTGGTTTAGGGTTTAGGGGCTTGGGGTTTAGGGTTTAGGGTTTAGGGTTTAGGGCTTTAGGGCTTTAGGGGTTTAGGGTTTAGCTTCGGTGGCCTAATCTGCTTTGGGCGTGCCTGGCCGTCTTCTAGTGGGAGCTCTAATATAGGGGCCTTAATAAATAGAACAGGGTTTTTGGGAGTTCCTTACTATGATTAACGTATAATGGACCCCCAAACCCCGTTCTAATCATTAAGGCCCCTACATTAGGTGTAAACCACTCAACCCTAAACCCTAAACCCTAAACCGTCGAACACCACCAGAGCCGGGCAGCAGCTGCATGATGAGCGTCGAGTCCTTGTAGGAATCCTCAGCCACATTGTCCAACTCGGCAATGGCATCCTCCGAGGTTTTCTTTGGGGCTCTAGGGGTTTAGGGTTTGGGGTTTAGGGTTTAGGGTTCTAGGGGGGTTTAGGGTTTAGGGTTTAGGGTTCCTTCAGTTTCGGGTTTCGTGTGGTTTAGGGCTCGGCGTCCCTTGAAGGATTCTGAATTTGGGGTTTTACTTGGGGTGCGAAGGGGTCCTACATCTTCTAGGGTTCTTTGCAAGGGTGCCCAGCGGGCACACAAGGCCAAGACAACGGGGCAAGAACAAACTCCTGCAACATGTCGCGGCTACAAGAACGCTAAGGGTCCATGTACCCAAATAGTATATACTTTGGCCCTAAAGTACCTATATAGGGACTACATTAAGAGCAAAGTATATACTTTTTGGGTACATGGACCCTTAAACCCAAAACCCTCATAGTCTCATAGTACCCTGATAGAATCCCTTTAAAGGAACCCTTAAAGGAACCCTTTTGGGCACATGGACCCTTAGGGGAAGATGCCAGGAACAATCCGCTCGGTCCTCGAAGGCCGTGCGTGCCATCTTGCAAGCATCTTCCGGATTGCCCAGCACCTTGGGCGCTCTTGGGGTTTAGGGTTTAGG